AAATGCAACGATCTTATGAGATAGAGAACAACTACGTTAAATATTTTTTTAATCTATCACATGGGACTTAGGTACAAAGATATATAAGAGATAAGCTAATTCTTATAAGACACAAAGAATCTGTACCGCTCCTATAGAGTCAAGCTCAGAATCTCCTTTGCACTGAACCAACATCAATTTTGGGTAGAGCAACATTCCAATTCATTGCACCCTTGTTTACAGTAGCTCAAAGTTTACCAACAGTCATTGGCCGTCAATAAAGAACTGTTCAAATAAATTATGCGTCTAATGCTCAAATGGGAAGAGATGAATAGCTATCTTCCTGTATATGTGCAGAATTCTTCAAAAGACACCATCATCGGCATTGCCTCTTTGCGAGGGAGATTGCCTAGAATAGGCCTTTTTTCCCCACTACTCTCCCCTTAATAGTCTGAATATTTCATTGTGCTCATATATGATAGATATATTAAACTGCCCATGAGACATCTTCACACATAGAAATTTCCTCACTTGGGTCTATTTTTTTTTTTTTTGAGACAGAGTGTTTATTTCTTTAAAATAAATTTTTTCATGTTTACATGGATGGAGCTAGAAAGTATTCTTCTTAGCAAAGTATCCCAAGAATGGAAGAAAAAGTATCCAATGTACTCAGCCCTACTATGAAACTAATTTATAGCTTTCATAGGAAAGCTCTAACCCAATTTTAGCCCAGGAATATGGGGAGAGGGGAGAGGGAGGGAAGGGGAAAGGAGAGGGCAGGTGGAGGGAGGGTGATTGGTGGGATCACACCTATGGTTCATCCTATAAGGGTACATGTGAATCTCTCTAAATGTAGACTATAAATGTCTTAACACAATAACTAAGAAAAAGACATGAAGAGTATGTTAACCAGTTGGATGAAAGCATTTCAAATTGTATACAGAAACAGTACACTGTACCCCATGGTAGTATTAATGTACACTGCTATGATTCAATAAAAAAATAAATAAATAAAAATAAAATAAATTTTTAAAGAAAAACACAATTTGTTCATGAGAGGAATAAGACCATTCACTGTTTCCTGAGTGTCAGAGTCTCTAGTGGGCAGACATCAGTCAAGTAATACCTGCTTCATTACCATGAGCCTCTAAAAAAGACGCCCTGGCTTCTATCCCAGGAGTCGTCCCACACAATGAGAACTCTCTTTCAATGTGGTCTTTAATACCCAGAGCAGTAGATTTAAGCAAGAGTTAAAACTGAGTGGGAAAAAAAAGCAGCAAATATCCCCACACCAAAGGAACTTTGCCTCTACCAGATGATGGCCGGGAAGAAAGGGAGGAGGTAGCACCTGGGCTCCAGGGTCCTTTTCAGGCACCTAACATGCTAAATGTCTTTCTCCCCAAGCTCCAACATCTCCTGAAGAACATGAGAGGTGACCTAACCGAATTCTGCATCGTTCCATCAAAGACTAAGTGCTTTTATTCCACTTGCCACGTCCCTGACTTAAGGTGACAAGAACCCTTTCAACTTTCTGCTGCCACGGCTATGCCAAGGCTCTTTGTCCTCAATCTTCTGGGTATCCCAGGCCTTTAACTCACAACCACAGCAATACTGTTAATGCTCCAAGACAACTCTGATCCCTTGTGCTTGCTGGCTAGAATAATCCTGTAAAAATGCCAGTGCCGCCTCCATCTTCTTAGCACAAGGTGGCTCAGACATCCCACCTTTTCCCGACTATGACCCACTGCCCAGGTAACCTTGCCTCACCACCTGTATCAGACAGGTGATTATCTGTTAAAAGAAATACTTCCCAGATGCTGAAAACTTCACCACTAGAAAGAAGATGAAAGGGATACCATTCAGGGGTGAACATTCCAGGGAATATGACACATGCCTCAAGCATGCCTCCCAGAATAGGCAAAGCTCATAAAAGCAATTACCACCCAGATGCACAGGAAGAGAGGCACAATTTGCCCACATATCCTTGACTAGCCAGGATGTGGGTCAAAGAAAGTGACCTGTGTTGCTATTCTCCACCTCTACTCAGACGGAGTTTGATAACTTCTCTTCTTTTTAGAACCCAGATAATGGCAGCACACGGACAGCGAGTGACAGAGCTGGGAGAGGAAATGAACTCACCTGTTAGAAGCAGGATGCTGGCTAACCACCTTTGGCCAGCTAAAATTTCAGGTACGAGAGATATAGCTGATTGCATTTTTGCTCAGTGGTGCATTTTTATATTAAGGGGGAAAATCATGAGAGCCAAGCCTTTTGATAATATCAAGCAGACATTCTCGTAATCACAGACAGAGTGGGAGGAGGAAAGAGAATAAAGGCAACTATCTCAAAGACACAGTTCACACGGATACACCCATCACAGATTTCAAAATACAATACGCTGAGTGAAGGAAGCCAACTAAGAAAAGTATACACTTTGGCACTACATTTCTAGAAGCTTCTAGAAAATACAAACCAATATATGGCAGCAGGAAGCAATAGGTCAGGGTTGCTTGGGGCTGAGAAGTAGGGAGGGTCGGAAGGACGAATGATGAGCAGGCACAAGGAGACTTCTACGGCTGATGGATATTTTCAAGGTCTTATGATGGCAGTTTCACAGGGCGCCGTATGGTCAAAGCTTAGCAAACTAGACACCTTAAGTATGTGAAGTGTGTTGCACGAAATCAGACTTCAATAAAACTTTTAAGAAAGACCATTGTTTAAACCAAACATACACACACAAAACGAAGGTTGAAATCCTCCCCAAATGTCAACCTGGTCATCCTAGCTCTTGGATATGATGTAACCCAAAGGCTGCGATTACCCATAAACCCCCCTGAGCAAACAAAGATGGAAAAAAAGGAAAGCTATAGCAAATCACCCCCACTCCACACCTACTGCAGTCCAAATACCTGCCTTTTGGGGTACAGGAAAGAGCTGATCCTGACAGCGCGACTCCACAAAGCTGAGAGCTGAATGGGCAGTTTCCATGTGACCTATATTCCACTGGCCACATCAACATTCCCCAACAACAGCTGGGAGACACTCCCACCTCCCACTCAATGACCCAGTCACAGCTGGAGCAAGGGAGGAGGAAGAAGGAGAGACAAAGAGTAAAGTCTCCTCTGGCCTCCCGAGGTATACAGGCTACACATAATCATTAGTGTCCAGCCCAAGTCGGACAGAAAGAATTGTGCAGACAGCTCCCCAGAGGGTGATAAAATTAAAAAGACACCAAAAAGACGCATATTTCGTAGGATCCTAAGAGATGGTTCAGAGTCTCTCTGGCCTCTGTCCTACCTGCTGAGAAAGAAGGGATGGCAGGAAAAACAATGATTTTGCTGAGTATGTCAAACTATGTCCACAGTCGTGAGTCCCAGCTCTGGTTCTCGGCTGCTATTCTCATGTCACTCCCACTATGGCCATGCCACTGGGTGGGGGCACAGTTAACTCACCTGAGAGAGGTTCAGGCTTCTTCACAGCTAAGTCAGCTGCCAACACCTCATCTCTGTCCTGCCAGACAACAGCAAACACCCAGCCTCCTTTCTGTACCTTTATCCCGTGGTTATGCTGGTGTGCCACCAGGCCCACCTCAAGCCCCTTGGTGCTGTCCCTCACTGTGACCCGCCTGGGTCCCCTGCATTAACAACAAACAGCATGCTACCTGCACACATCCAGGCCTACTCTCTGGAGCTCAGGCTCCTTGACACCTGCTGTGTGCAAGAGGCTTTGAGTAATTCTTCTGGGGTTTGCATCAGCCTTGCACAGAGCAGAAAGCTGAACCTGCTCGCAAGAGCCAGGACCAGGCTTCAAAGAGGAGTGGGAGAAATCACACACAGGATGGAAAAAGTCTTGGGAGCAACTGGGGAAAAGAAATACTTCTTAGGTTTTCTGGGCCCCATAGTGAGAGGAGAACCATTTCCTTCTCTTGAACAATACCATGACACACTTCACTAGCTTAGAAACAAAGAGGCAACCATATGAACGTATAAAAATGTAAAGTGCTTCCAATGTGTTCTTGGGACAGGAGAAACATCTAGATCGTCATCGTCATCAAAAGACGTCCCTATCTCCCAAGGGAAGTTTGGAAAAACTAAGAAGAGAGACAGAGAAGAAGCAGACGACAAACAGGAGTGGTGTCCCTGCCACCAGCTCCAATGGCTCAGCCTTCAGCTCCTCAGCAACTCCCGGCGCCAACCATCCCATACCGCTGGTCTGCTTCCCACTGGAGGTTTTGAATATGGAAAGTACCAGGCATTGGCCTGAAACACGTGAGCAGGATGCTATAAATACATACAGGTTAGAAAAATTCTAGGCTAGGGCACCTAGAAAACTTTCACCCAGGCTGTGGGTAAATCCTTCCATCACTGAACCCAATCACTTGCCGTCAACAACGTTTTGTGAACGGGGGATAAAGAGGCGAGACCTGGTAACCAGTGAACGGTGGGAAAGTGGAGAGAGACCACATATCAAGTTTGAGAACTGTGCGAATGGAACCTGGTGAGGTCCTTGGAGGCCCTTGGGGCAGTGTTCTTCTGACCGTGCTGGGCGAGCTAAATCACCATCGCGTGAGCCTAGAGGCTGCCTGGGGAATAAGAAGCCTCCCTGTAGGCTGGGGAGGAAATGTGGAGGCCTAGGAGAAGAGCAGAAGGGGGCTCCTCTCCCCGAGGAGTACTGGGGACCGGGCAGAGACGGAGGGCTTAGGAGAGGATGTGAAGGCCAGTTCTGCTGACCCGCTGGGGGGGAGCTGGGAGTGTCCTCGAGCAGCAGAGCCCGGCTGCACAGGACTGGGACTCAGAACAGAAGCCCATGGTCTCTGAGGGCAGTGCCTAGTGTCAGCCAGACGCCTGGGTCTCCTGGCAGAAGCAAAGTGCCTGCAGGTGCAGGGGTGCTTCGGGGTGTTGGGGAGTTCCAAGAAGAGGCTGGGCCTCTACCCAGTGGGAACTTGGGATTCGTGGATCGCGGGAGGCGAAAACCCGAGTTGTGGAGGGCCGGTTGGTGCCCGGCGGGACTCTTTCTCTCACCTGCGGAACACCAGGAAACCCAAGATGAGAAGCAGCAGGAGTCCGAGTATGCGGCCCGGCCTCCGCCGGAGGTTGCACGTGGCCATCGCGCGTTCCCGGCGCGCAGGGACCCGGGTTCCCACTCCAGCCGCTCTCAGCCGCACTCAGGTGCCTCCGTGCGGGGGGCGGGGCCGCGCGCCGGTCGCCCAGGCAACCAGCCCGCCGGCGCTCATTGACTGCGGCTCGTCGCCCCGCCTCCGCCGGCTGGGCCTCTTTGCGGGCAGGGGTGGGGCCTCGCGGGGTAGGGGTGGGGCCTCGCGGGGTAGGGGTGGGGCTGGGCGGAGCCTCTGGCCTGGCGAGGCGGTTGGCCAGAGCGCAGAACCGCTGTGCTATGCTCTAAGTTTCGAAAGGTGTTTCCTGCACGTGATCCTGCAGGTGCACAAATATTGGGCACGTGTTGTCCAGTCCTTGAACGCTGGCGTAAAGTCACCTCCAACAGCGCTACTAGGTAGCACGTGGAAAGGCACCTACAAAACAAGGGCAATCACCACAGTTTTTTAAAACAAATGTTAAAGAAAAAATATTTGAAATAACTCATCGTGTAAAAAGTATTTTGAAGAATATTCTTTAGACATATTTTAGGGTGGTTCATGTCTAAAAAGGTGGAAGGGAAAACAAAGTATTCTCTGACTTTAGTTTCCACGGGTCTTATTCTGGCCCTGATTCTAAGCACTTTCAATTTTTTATCTTTAAAAAGTCCAGATGAAACCCTCATCTTTACTAATGGACAAATATTAGTCTTATTCTGGCACAGAACTGTATCTCAAAGGACGTTATTAATATTCGGTGAAACTTAAATTCTGTAGCAATCACAAACCCAACTCCTCTCAGTATCAAAGCTCAGATTTTACTGAAAGAAACTCTAGGAAAGCAGATTTTTTTTTCAGAGTTTCTGGACTCTCTCCCTCTTTGTATGTTTTAAATCCATTTCCTTTATGTGTACATAGTTTCAAACTTTTAAAGCTACGGGAACCAAAGGAAATTTTAGTTCTTGGGGCAAAACATGCAGAGTTTGGTGTGAAGCATCCTTCATCTAGCATTAAGCAAATATTTGTTTAAGTAGCAAAAGTTTAAACCAAGAAGAGGCAAAAACAAACAAACAGGATGAAAAAAAACCTGCCAGAATTAGAAAGGGTAAGTTGAGGTTTTGTACAGTCCAAGTTTTTGACAGCAGTGCCAGAAACATTCCCAGGGCTTGCAGAGAGAGGGATAACTTCCCTGAACATGCTCACCAAAATCAGTATCTTTTTCTCCACTTTTTAAGGCATATGATTGCTCGGTGTTTGCAAAGTCTCTGATGAAAAAGTTCTGGTTTAACTGGGATAAGAGCTAGCCCTTAAGATGTGTGGAGAAAGTGTCACAATTTAGCCCCTTCTGCCTGTAGAAGACCATTCCAAAGACACACACCCCACATTCACCCCCTGCCCCTGGGCATGCTGTGGAGTAATCTCAGAATCTATTCCACATCAGGTTATTCTCAAGTTGCTTGGCAACACTAGCATCTCTATTTTTGTCAGATATTAGTAAAAGCATCAGCTATAATAACCCCAAACTCCTGAGGGTGGCACCTGTGGCTCAAAGGAGTAGGGTACCAGCCCCATATGTTGGAGGTGACAGGTTCAAACCCAGCCCTGGCCAAAAACTGCAAAATAATAATAATAATAATAACCCCAAACTCCTTAGCCTTCTCTTGTGGTCCTCATTTTTATTTGTATAAGGAAAATATATACATACTTTAGTGCAAAAAAAAAAAACCATCTTTTAGCCTTCTAGGAAGTCCAGAACTATGGACATACCCTATTGACAGTTAAAGAAAAATTTTACTTTATCAAAGCTTAATGATACCACAGAGTGGTATCTGCAGTAGTGCTGCTGCAAAGATGCGATTTGCTAAGAGGTTGATTTCTGTTCTTTGAAGTATTAGCAAGACACTCTAGTTTCCCTTTCCAAAATGATCTTAACCCAAAGCAGACAAGGAAGATCCTCAAATCCCTGAGAATTGAAGCTGGAGCTGCAATGAATTGGCATGAGAACGACGCAAACAAAATGCTCTGGGAGGTGCATGACCTGGCAGTGAATCCCGGACACATAGCAATCACCATCTTCCCAGACCAGCTTTCTAGTGTCAAGGGCTTGGAAAATTTCTTTTTTAAGAAATGAAGTTCTATTTTTAGCCTCAACCCACCACTCTAAGAGGAAGCTCAAACTGCCCCAGAAGGGTTGGTTCCTTCCTTGAGAATTCATTTGTTCCAAATAGTAGGCAGGGCTCAGCGCCTGTGGCTCAAGTGGCTAAGGCTCCAGCCACATACACCTAAGGTGGTGGGTTCAAATCCAGCCTGGGCTGGTCGCTGCAATCAAAAAATAGACGGATATTGTGGTGGGCACCTGTGGTCCCAGCTAATTGGGAGGCTGAGACAGGAGACTCGCTTGAGCCCAGGAGTTG